CTTCACAGAGTTAAACAAATACAACATAAAAGAATGCAACACATCTTTACATCATTAAACAAATATTCCACAGCATAGATGAATGTAACACATCTTAAACTAATATTCCACAACAGGAGGGAAGCAAGGAGTCTCCTTCAGGCTTGGGGGTTCTGGGAAGGCATGTGCTGTAGGGAACTTCAACCAAGGCAGGCAGGCAGGAAAGAGGAAAAACCAGCCAGGGTTCCCTGATGGAGCGAGGCCATAGCCCACGGAGGCAATGAGACCCAGAGCTGAGAGCCAGCCAAGAGGTGAACGAGTGCTGGTCACAGTGGGAGACCCAGCTGGGGTAGCGGGAGTAATACAAGTCTGCTACATAGTCAGACCAGGTCAGGCTAGAGCTCGGCGCATCCTACCCACAAGCCCTGTGTGGCGTTCTGGCACTTCTTCCTCTGTATCCCTCTTTCTCATCTCACGGGAGAGATGGACCTTGCTCTGAGGCTGACTCCATTTTGGAAAAGATCTCTGAGCTCTGATAAGAAAATTACTCACACAGAGTCCTCTCTGTTGACTCTAAGGTCATGGTCAAACCCGTACCACCACCTCTGTTCTCCTCCCGGCCTCAGAGAGGAGACAGGCCAGAGGGATCTCAGTTACCCACACACTGCAGTCTTGCTTATTCATTCCACAATCTCTTTGGTATCGAGCACCACTGTGTACTAGGTCCTAGAAGGTCGGCTCCGAGGTGCTGTGCTGGCTAGCGGTCAGTCATGCTTGCCACAAATCTAGGAAGGCGACAGCTTTGAAGAAGTTCACTTTTTGCTGTTTTCGGTAGGATTTTGTTCTGACACCCCTGGCGACAGATCGGTGGCGTTTTGTTGAATTGGGCCAGGACAGTTCGCATAGCCCACCCCTCTTACCACAACAGCTAAGCAGCCCCTCGCCTCCATTCTCCCACCCTCCCTTTTTTGTTCTGCTGAGACAGGGTCTCCTATGGTCCAGGCTGTCCTAAAATTGAGCAGGTATCCAAGGATGGCTGCTAGCTCCTGACCCTCCTGTTCACGCCTGCCAAGTGCTGGGATCACAGGCTTTGCCACAACACGTGGCTCTCGCCTTTCTTCTTAAACTTAACAAGTCACACACTCCCAAAGTTTAAAGGGAGAATTACAATAAGAACACACTGCACAGGACGCTACTTGGCCCACCACCCCGAACTCCATCTCCCAAGCTTCCTTGCTGTTTGGGGACCACGTGACCAACTCTGGCCAGTAGGCTGTGAGCAAATGCCGCCCTCCCAGTCCCCACTTCTGGAGCTCCGTTCTGCTGCTTGCCCCATGGTGGCACTCTTGTCCCCGGTGGGGAAGTAAACCTCCCGGTCCCCACTGACATCCCACCTACTTTTTATTATTACTGTTACTACTATTACCTATGTGAGAGCCTCAGCCTCACCGGTCAACACAGCTCGAAGGTGAAGTGTCCCCCACAAGCTCTCATTTTGGAACACTTCCCCATTTAGCGGGGCTGACTGAGAGGATGTGACCCTAGGGATGAGGCCCCTAGAGACAGACCTTGTTTTCTGATCTCAAGATGTGAGGAGTTGCTGCAAGCTTCTGCCTCCAGTGACTCAGGGCTGCAACCCTCAGACCTTACCCGACGTGATGACTCCGGTGAGGGTGCGCACCAGCAGATCTGGGGGCCCGAAGCTCCTCTGCTTCTATGTAAGCGGGGCAGGATCTCCCTAAGAGCAGTCGAGGCTCACAGAGGTCTACTCTGGGGGAAGGTTCTTCTCCCCTCTTACCACCCCCACCCCACCCCTCCACCCCCGAGTTTGGAGTTCAGAGCCCTGTCCCAGTTCAGCAGAGCACAGCAGACACCCACAATACTAGTCAATGCTCTTTGCTGCCTTGGGGGTGAGCAAGGCAGAGATATCCCTGCTGTCCAGGACTCTTCTTTAGCCAGGCAGGTGTTCAGCAAAATGCCTTTCTACATCCATATGTGTGTTGTGGCATGTGAGGGGTTCCCCAGCAGGCAGGTAGAAAATAGCACTTCTGGCAGGCTTTTCCTTTGGGAAGCTGCATGAAGTGGGGTCATGTAGAGAGCTCAAATGGGTCTGGACCCTTGATTCCCCTCCCAGTTGCCTCCTGTGGTAGTCTGAATGTAATTGCCCCCCTATAATCTCATAGGGAGTGTGTGGTGATATTGTGTCCCCCAATATATTGTGCACCCTAATAAACTTATCTGGAGTCAGAAAACAGAACAGCCACTAGACAGACATGGAGGCCAGAAAATGGTGGCACACATACCTTTAATCTTAGTATTCTGGAGGCAGAGATCCATCTGGATCTCTGTGAGTTCAAAGCCACACTGGAAATAGTGGATACACACCTTTAATCCCAGGAAGTGATGGCAGGAAGCAGAAAGGTATATAAGGTGTGAGGACCAGAAACTAGAGGCTTTTTCATCTTTTAGGCTTTTGAGTAGCAGTTCAGCTGAGATCCATTTGGGTGAGGACTCAGAAGCTTTCAGTCTGAGGAAACAAGATCAACTGAGGAATTGGCGAGATGAGGTTAGCTGTGGCTTGTTCTGTTTCTCTGATCTTTCAGCGTTCACCCTAATATCTGGCTCCTGGGTTTGTTTTTTTTATTAATAAGACCATTTAAGATTCATGCTACAGGAGTGGCACTATTAGGAGGTGTGGCTTTGTTGGAGTGGGTATGGACTTGTTGGAGAAAGTGTGTCACTGTGGGGGCTGGCTTTGAGGTTTCCTATGCTCAGGACACCACCCAGTGTTTCAGTTGAATTCCTGTTCCCTGAAAGCCAAGAAGTAGCCAGCACCATATTTGTCTGCATGCCACCCTGCTCCCCACCATGACAATAATCAACTGAACCTCTGAAACTGTAAGCAAGCCACCCCAATTAAATGCTTTAAAAGAGTTACTGTGGTCATGGTGTCTCTGCACAGCAATAGGAACCTAAACTAAGACACTTCTTCCCAATTGTGTTGTTGCTTACCTGTAATGCTTACTAGAGGTGCAAATGTAACCCTTTAAAGTGAGTGGCTGGGCAGAGAAGGTGAAGATGGCGGTAGCCGGGGCTGCGGCCCTGGGAGTCCAGTGGCTGCAAAGGGCAGCCTGCAGCGTGGTGCCACTGGAGGCACGGAGAGCCTTCCATGTGACCAAGGACATGCTGCCGGAGCAGTGTCCTAGGACTCCAGAAGAACGGGCCAAGGGTGCCAAGAAGTATAATATGCGTGTGAAAGACTACAAGCCATACCCGGATGAAGGCATGGGGTACGGGGACTACCCGAAGCTCCCTGACCTCTCACAGCAGGAGAGGGATCCATGGTATGAACGGGATAACTCAGAAATGAGGTTGAACTGGGGCAAAACGATGCACTGGGACCTAGATATGTATACCAGGAATCGTGTGGACACATCCCCTCCACCTGTTTCTTGGGATGTCATGTGTAAACATATCTTCGACTTTATGGCTTTTATGGTTTTCATGTTCTGGGTTGGGGAGACTTTCCCCTCCTACCAGCCTGTGGGGCCGAAGCAGTAACTTTACAACAACCTGTACCTGGAGCAAGGCGGTGATCCTACCAAAGAATCTGAGCCGGTGGTTCACTGTGAGATCTGAGGAAGCTTCGTGGGCTTTTGTGCTCTCTAACTAGGACTCCCTCATTCCTCGAGGTTTAACCTTAATGGAATCCTAATAAAGCTCAGTGCCGAAAGAAAAAAAAAAAAGTGAATGGTTGTTTAATGGCTTCGCGCGCACGCGCGCACACACACACACACACACACACACACACACACACAGAGAGAGAGAGAGATAGAGAGAGAGAGAGAGAGAGAGAGAGAGAGAGAGAGAGAGAGAGAGAGAGAATATGGAAGGCTTACCTGCTTCACACAAAAATAAAGGGCACACTTTCCAAATGACCAGATACAAAACACACATAAGGAAAAAAAAAATCCACTACCCAGAGCTACCATGTGATCCCAGGAGTCCTGCCTTTTGAATACCGGTCTGAAAATCCATTTATAGTCTAGGGTCTCTTCTTGAACCAAAATCAGAGCAAATGAATCATTTTTGTTTTACTTGCTATTCTTCATTCTAACAAAATGGCTGCTTGCAGGCTAATTACTGTAGGCCCTCACGGCCAGGTTTGGTTTGACATTTGCCTACTACTTTGCTATGGATATAACATTAAAAAAAAAAAAAAGTCAGCTGCCAAACCACGCGTGATTACTCACACCTATAACCTCAGCACTCCAGAAACTGAGGCAGAAGAATTGCCCTGAGTTTGAGGCCAGCCTGGGCTGCAAAGACCTTGCCTCAAAGCAAAGCAACAAACAGACAAACAACCAAGAAAACAACAATGGATACCAATTACTACAGTGAGTACATTTCAATATTGAACTTGGAGGAATTTGCTTTTTATTTGGGTTGTATTGTCTTGGCTTTTCTCTAAACCTGAAGAAGATGTGAGATTTTGCCCTTAAAAAAGAAAATGTTTAGTCTCAGCATGTTGTATTTCTGGAAGCTGATTTGCCACCCCCTTTGTACTTTCATCGAAAATGAAATAATAATTTCATGCTGGTCAAGCTGGGGATTGAACCGGGAGCCTTCTGTGTGGTAGGTAAGTGCCCTGCCACTGAGCCATATCCATAGTCCAACAGAAGCATCTTAGAACTACTGGCCTAAATAGAATTCACACAGCTCTCCAGACACCTGACTCCAGACACCTGAAAACGTGCTTAGAAGGTCTGTCGTTGACCCCTGTCCCCCAGTCATTCTCATGCCATCTGCCCAGCGTTATCCTTTGGGCTGCAATTCTCCCATGACACCAAAGTGTCACAATTGGTTCCTCCAAAACCAGACATCAGCAAGAGCATTTCAGATTTCTCCCACACAGTTTTAATATGTTCAGTGACTAAAATGAACATTGAATTAGGAACTTATGTAAGAATTTTGAAAGCAATAATATTTGATCTTTGAAAACAGTACCACCTCTGGTTCTTTGGAGGTGCCTTTGAGCTGGGTCTTGAACCCAGGGCCTCTTGAACACTAGGCAAGTGCTCTGCCACTGAGCCACACCCCCAGTGCCCCCCCTCTTGCTTTTAAGGTCCCATTTTTAAAGTCTGGACCTTATTGAGACTAAAGCAATTTGCAAAACATAACTTTGAAATTTCAAGTAGGCATAATGGGTCTCTTTGCTCCTGATGTTGGGATGGCCGAAACCAAGGTGAGCAGGGGTTAGTCTCACCAAAGCCATGTTCTAAACTAAGAGTCAGAACCAATAGTTTGGAGTTTTGTGATATATATTATTTCTCCACACTGCAGAATTATATATATATGAAGACACTAAGTTACTTACATTCTTGTGTAGAACCCTAGCCTCAGGCTTTATCTGTAAGTAGTCTTTCTCCCTCCTCCTCCCTCCTCTTCCGCTTCCTCCCCCTTCTCCCCCTCCTCCTTCCCCATAACCATCTTCCTATGACAAAAGTTACACTTTATTTTATTTAAGCTAATACTTTTTTTTTTTTTTTTTTGAGACAGGCTTTCTCTGTGTAACAGCCCAGGCTATCCTGGAACTCCCTTTGTAAACCAGGCTGGCCTCAAACTCACAGAGATCTGTCTGGCTCTGCCTCCTGAGTGCTGGGATCAAAGGTGTGCACCACCACCACCCAGCTATTAATAATTTTTATGTTCAGAATATGCACACAATAATAAGTGCATTGTCCTGGGGACATGTTGAGACCATAATGCTGTGTACATTTTGAGAAAGAGAGATATAAATTTAGAAAAATCAGGGGGGAAATGCTAATTTCAATATTAACAAAAAGAAATACCCACCGGGCAGTGGTGGCACACACCTTTAATTCCAGCACTCGGGAGGTAGAGCCAGGCAAATCTCTGTGTGTTTGAGTCCAGCCTGGTCTACAAAGTGAGATCCAGGACAGACTCCAAAGCTACACAGAGAAACCCTATCTCAAAAAAAAAAAGCAATCAGAGGGCTGGAGAAATACATTATTTTGCTTGCTTGTTTCCCATTTGTTTCTGCATTACAGTGTTTGGTGAGTTTATTTGGTTGTAAAAAAATAAAAATGTAAAAGACATTTAGGAAATAGCAGAGAACCTATTTCATCCCACCTTCAAAATATATGTCATTGGGATTTTTTTTAACATGCAGAAGAAACAGATTTATATTGTACAATCATGGATGTTCCAGGAACACAAAAGAAGAAGTCCAAAGGTCACCAGGATTCCCAAATCATGAGCGGGTCACAGTTGACATTTTGTCGTTTTTTCTTGTGTTAACTTTAGGCAAGTCTCCGAGGGCCTGAGTGCACTGTTCTCTATCTTCATCAAACCCAGCTCAGTTTTACAAGTCTTAACACAGTGCTCAGGATAGGATGTCAAATCTCCACTCTTCTCTAACTGCTTCCCAGAGACAAAAATCCAAAAATATGCAGCAACCATGTCACAGGGGACAGAGTATTCAGATGACCTTCCTATCTTTTTGAACCATCTGATCAAAAGGCAGCTCAAATTGATACAGCGGTGACCAACTTTTATTCTACCAAGACCGAGAAAGGTAGCGGGGGTTAAACATCTCAGAAGGAGATGTTGCCTCTGGCTGCTCTTTTCCTGGCATCCCTTCTGTTCCTCATAAGACTCTCCCTGATTTAAAGGCCAGACACCTGTTGTTGAGTGCTGTGACTCACAAAAGGCCCACCAGCCTGTTATTTTACTCTGTTGGGATGAATTTATTCATTTATCTATTGATAAACTTTTTTTTTAAAGATATGGTCTCATTCCTTTGCCCAGGCCAGCCTGGAATGTACTCTGTAGCCCAGGCTGGCCTCATGACAGTTCTCTTGCCTCAGCTTCCTACATGCTGGGATGACAGTGGGAACCACTAGACCTGCTTCTAGTATGAATCTATTTTGTACCAATTTTTAAAAACATTTTTTTTTCTTCCCGAGACAGGATTTTTCTGTACCAGCCCTGGCTGTTCTGGAATGTACTTTGTAGACCAGGCTGGCCTCAAACTCACAGAGATCTGTCTGCTCTGCCTTCCAAGTGCTGGGATCAAAGGCGTGCGCCACCATGCCCAGCTTCTTGGCATCTGTGTTTGTTTGTTTGTTTGTTTTTGGTTTTTTGTTTGTTTCTTAATTTTTTTTGTTGTTTTTGTTTTGGTTTTTGGTTTTTCAAGACAGGGTTTCTCTGTGTAGCTTTGGAGCCTGTGCTGGAACTCACTGTGTAGAGTAGGCTGGCCTCAAACTCACAGAGATCTGCCTGTCTCTGCCTCCTGAGTGCTCGGATTAAAGGCGTACACCACCACCACCACCACCACCCGGCAGTTTCTTAACTTCTGTATCAAACATACATATCATTGCTTTAACTATAACACAAAGGACAAACACATCCCCAACTTGTTCCTTGGTGTAGGAGCTGTGCTTCACCAGTTAAAATAGGTTGATTTTCCTACAATGAAATACTCTGAGACTTTGAGTTGTTTTAACATCTCAAAGCTAGGCCCAGTGGCATGCAGGCCTGTAATCCCAGCCCAAGTCAGGTGGAGGAAGCGTGCAGTCCCTTCTACAACCCGAGGGTATCATGCACCAACAGTTTATTGAGCCCTGCTTGGCCGTCCACTTATCTCACCATTCAGGAGGTAAAGGCAGAAGGGTCAGGAGTTCAAAACCAGCCTCATTTATGTAGAGAATTTGGGACCAGCCTGGCATATAGAGGACCCTGTTTCAAACTCACCCCACCTACTGTGTGTGTGGGGGTGTCTTCTACTGAGGAAGGCTTCAGCTTGGTTTCTTTCATCTTTTTTTCTTTTTTGGGGGTGGGGGTGGGGATGGGGGTGTTTTGAGACAAGGTTTACTCTGCATAACAGTCCTGGCTGTCCTGGAACTCACTCTGTAGACCAGGCTGGCCTCGAACTGAGACATCTACCTGCCTCTGCCTCCCAAGTGCTGGGATCAAAGGTGTGTGCCAGCACACCCGGTTAACTCTTTATTTCATGTGGAATTATTCTGATGAGTGATGTGAGGTACACATAGGACTTGTTTTTTCTGAGATACCAATACATTCCCAACATGGTTGGTGGTTAATGCTCCCATCCTCCTCTGAGCTTGTGATTCTATTTTTATCAAGGTGGAGTTTCACTCCTAGGAGACTTCTTCACCCTTGGGCCTTTCTAGTCTATTCCCCAGGCTTATCTCTTCTCCAATCAACACCTTGCTATGCTCATCATGAGACTTAAGCTTTTGTTTTGTTTTGTTTTCTTTTGTTTTCTTTTGTATCTGATATGGCAGTTCTAGTTTTCAAAAAAAAAAAAAAAACCACCTTGTTACAGTTAAGGACTCATTTGTACAGATGAAACTGAGGCATCTTCTGAATCCCATGGAGTTTTCTTGTTGTTCACTTGTTCAGCCCCCCCAACCCAGAATGATGGTGTATCTCTGGTCTCCTTCACACAGAGGCTATTTAACTTGTTAGCAATCGTGGTCTAAGAAACTTACTGTGGCCCCTGTAAGGCCTCATTTTCATCAGCACTCCGGCTCAGGCTGGTGGATCTCATCCATTGCTATTTCAGCCGTCTTTGGCTGTCATGGTGGGCGTCACATCTGCAATAGCGACACCCTTGCCCCTATTGGTGCCTAATCTTGTATGATAAGAATTTTCTTGTCTTTCCCTGATTTATTTGCACGTGAGGACTCCTGGTATCTCAGGTGTTCTTCTTGACAGTCTGGAATACTTTTTAAAGCTCTGCTTTGGAAGGTATCTCTGATGGAAATGAAGAGAGAGAACTAACTTCAACTTCTGCTTTTTGGAGGGTGAATGCCTATAGGATTGGAGCGGTTGGCAGAGTGGCTCCTCCTGCTGGCAAGCCGTTCGGCACCACCTGATACTTGACTGTGTATGAAATACTTCAGTTTTGCTTTAAATACTGGCAGCAAGAGCTAGCATTCGGGGTTGGGGATTTAGCTCAGTGGTAGAGCGCTTGCCTAGCAAGCGCGAGGCCCTGGGTTCGGTCCTCAGCTCTGTTAAAAAAAAAAGACCAAAAAAAAAAGAAAAAAAAAAAGACAAAATAACAAAAAAGACCAAAAAAAAACAAGGTAACTGGCACACACAACCTTTTTCATTTTCAAAGGCACCCAAGGACATTTTCCTGGCTGGGAGCAATATTTATTATCTGTCCTTTAGAATGTCGCAGTCACAAATCGGTTCCAGCCCGCAGGAAAGGCTCCTGTGGGGTGTGCAGATGTAGTGATTGACAGCTGGGTGACAGCTGAGGATGCTTGGAAGCTCCACCCTCCTCCGTGCTCGCCTGCAGCTGGGGCCCTTCCTCCACTTCCTGGGAATGCCCCTGTGCTAGATCTTTGGTAATTTTTCTCATTTCTTTAAGATCTAAATTCGGTCCCATCTGTTTGGGTTTTGAAAATAAAAGCAACGTTCGCCTGGGCCCCCGCGCTCCGCACAGCGGACAATCCCTGCGAGGCAGGACCCGCCCCACCCACAGAGGAGAGGAGGAGCAGGTCTTCGTTTGGACCAGCCCCCATCCACCGCACATCTACCCATGCGCAGTAAGGATTTTTTTTTTGGCTTCTTTCGCTTGCCGTCCTTACCCGCCGTGCTTCGCGCGGCATACACGGAAGTGGTTTCCTCCGGCTGATAAGCCGGGCGTTTATGGTCGCACCTCGACGGGTGGTGACTACTACACGGAATGGCAGGAGTGCGAGGGCCCGAGGAGAGCCGGGCCGCCGCCGTGGCCGTGGAGCAGGACATGTTCGATGCCGTCGTGATGGCGGATGAGAGGTAGGCAGCGGCCCGGTTCCGCCCCGCCCCGGCAGCTGCTCGGCGGAGCCCCGCTGTCCTCGGGGACACCCGCCTTCGCCATCTGCGAGCTGCCACATCTTCTTGTTCTTTAATTGCCGCACATACGGCAGTATTCATGGACCTGCTGATGGATGTGTCGGACAAGCCCCCTTGGATGCGGAAAGTTCCCCCGGGAAACGCCTGGGCGGGGCGGTGGCCCAGGGCATCTTGGCCTTTCCAGGCTGGCTGCTCACCTCCCCGGGGTGGCCGCTCGAGCTCTGCTTAGGGGTCCTGACATATGCAGAGGCACAGGCGCTGTTCACTCATCACGAGGGCTTCCAGAGCATTCCTTCCCCAGTGCAGGCTGCAAGACACTTGCCAGTTTTCCTGTTGGTCCCTCAGGGACAATACCCTTCTCCTCGGGGCATCGCAGCGGTGGCATATTGTGATGAGCTTAGGGACACTTTCTGTTACTCTAAAGAGGTGTGGTGAAGAGCCCTGAGTCCTTGGAATGTTTTAGGAACAGACGACTTCAGTTACGATGGCATGTAGGCTCAGCGGCACCTACCCTGTTTTTGAAAATTAGATTTCTAGTGTGTTCCAGGCTTGCTTGAGTTTGTATCTTTACATTTCCCTTGAGGGTTTTGGCGCTCTGCCAGGTTTGGAAGTCACTCATGTAGCCCACTCCGAGTTACAGATGGAGGAACTTGGGTCTCTAGGGTTTGGGGCTGTAGCTCGGTTTATAGAGTGCTTTCCATAGCATGCACGAAGCCGGTAAGCATCAAGGTTTCACATGGAGGAGGTAGCACACACCTGTAATCTCAGCATTCAAGAAATGGAGGCAGAGTTGCTTGATGGCTGCAGCCTGGGCAACATAGTGAGGTCCTGTCTCAAAAATGGGGCAGGGGCACAGTAATGCAATGGGCCAGGGAGTAGAAGAAAGAACTAGACCTAGAACCTGCATTGTGTGACTTGAGTTTTAAGCCTTTCCTCCTATAGTCTGCTGTGTCCTGTGGGATCTGCATGATACAAGGTAGGAAGATTTTTTTTCAGGGTACAGTGTCTTACCTGATGAAGTATGTTTCTCTATCACAGATTCCATGGGGAGGGATATCAGGAAGGCTATGAAGAAGGCAGTAGCTTGGGAATCGTTGAAGGAAGGCAGTATGGCACATTACACGGAGCCAAAATTGGATCTGAGGTAAGTGGGAGGGCCACTGAGAAGTAACTTCGTAGGTGAGTGTGGTAGTCCGTCATCCTTTACAGGATGGTGACCCATCCTGTGATCCCAGCACTCAGAAAGCTGAGGCAGGAGTTCTAGGCTAGCCTGGGCTAGATAGTGAGATCCTGTCTCAAAAAACAGAGGCCGGGGAAGTAGTTGAGTGGCAGAGCATGCACCCAGCATGTGTAAGGCCATGGCTTTGAAACATCGCCTGGAGCAGTGGTTCTCAACCTTCCTAATGCTGCAACCCTTTAAAACAGTTCCTCATGCTGTGGTACCTCCAACCATAAAATTATTTTGTTGCTACTTCATAACTGTCATTTTACTACTGTTATGAATTATAATATGATATGCAGGATATCTGACATGTGACCCCAAAGGGGTCAGGACCCACAGGTTGAAAACCAATGGCCTGCTGGGCGGTGGTAGCACACGCCTTTAATCCCAGCACTCTGGAGGCAAAGCCAGGTGGATCTCTGTGAGTTTGAGGCCAGCCTGGTCTACAGAGACAGGCACCAAAACTACACAGAGAAACCCTATCTCGGAAAAAAAAAAAAGTCATGGATCCTTTTCCTCTACAATTGTTTCCTTTGCTGTTGATGATAGAGCATATAACCTCTTCTTACTGCAAGGCCTTTGGTGGGGATTCATAGACCAGACAGAAAATTCTTAGCACAGGACCACCAAAGTATGTTATGGGAAGGAGTATCACAGTGCTGTCTCATGTCTCCAGCCAGCTCCGTCCTCACCCAGAGGGTTGCCATGTGTACAGTGAAATTCCGTAAGCCCCCCAGTTTTTCTCCTGTTGCCTTTGTCCTTGCTTAGCCATCTCCAGATCATTGACCCTGACTGGCAGAGGAGGTCATGACAGTATCAGATACCTGATGCCATAAAGCAGGTTCCACAGACTGAGGGGCCTAAAATAGCCATCTTTAGTTATGCCCACACAGTATCTGAGGGTCAGCAGGTAAGGAGCCATGTGTCAGTGAGGCTCCAGTCTCATCTGAAGGCTTGGCTGGACCAGGGGATCTCTTCCCAAGACAGCACACCATGTAACTGGTGCCCTCTGCTCAGGGGTCCTCATGTTACCCCTAAGCAAGTAGCCGGTGAAAGCAAAGCAGAAGTGGCATTGCTTTTCTAGCCCACCTCTGCCCGAAACTCACAGGTTCCAGAAGAGCTGAAGAAGCAGTGTGCAGCCCTCTGCGCCGCCCGAAGCTTTGAGATCTTGGTAATTGGTGTGGTGTGGCTGCATGCTTCCCGCCTTCACTCTGGGCTGGTTTTCAATTCACAGATTGGGTGCTACCATGGGTTTGCTCTTGCGTGGAAATGTCTCCTACACAGTGGTGCTGGCGAGAAAGACAGGTGAGGCTGAGGCTCCCTTCCACCTCCTTCTCCTCCTCCTCCCCCCATCAGCATGCTCTCAGTACAAAGGCCAGGAGGAGCTGAGTGCTCCTGATGTGTGCATAGTTATGTGTGTCATTAGCACATACAGAACATAAGAATGGCCACCTTGACTGTTGTTATTCAGAGAATAATAAGTGGAATGTCTCAGGCACCTCATAGGTACTCGATGCGCGCTGGGTGATGTCACACCTCAGGTAGTGTCAGATGGATCCTGTTTTTCTGTCCATTTCTCACTTGGGCTTCTGAAAACAGACTGTAGTAGTGTCCGTGGAATGAGGCCTCAGAAATGCTGACTCTGCCAGGTGTGGTGGTGCTCACCTTTAATCCCAGCAGAGAGAGGCAAATCTCTGTGAGTTCAAGGATAGCCTGGTCTACATAGGCAGTTCCAGGACAGCTAGGACCAGGGATGGGGGAAAGAAAGGAAGTGCTGGCTTTCTTGTCTGTGGTGTCTCCTAGCCAACCAGAGCACAGTGTTGTCTTTTTGGGAGCCCCGGGCTCACACTGTGCCCCAGACTGGCCTTCAACTCATAGCCATCCTTCTGCCTCAGCGTCTTGTGTGCTGGGCTCCCAGACATGTGCCACCACGGGCAGCCAGACTTCATCCTGAAGCATTCCTCTTTGGCACACACAGCCCTAGGGACTGTCACTGTCCTCTGAGCTTTGTTAGCTTTGGTCCCTTGCCTTACTGTGCGTTGCCTGCCGGGCCTGTGAGCTGCCTCACATGCCTGCTTCCCAGGCTGGGAGGAGCCTGGAGTGAAGCCATACTGTCCTTGTGCACAGAGCCATAGGGTTAGGCTGGCGTTGTGTAGGCTTCAGTCTTCCTACGCCTGCTGGCCTGGCCTGGTGCAGGCGGGCCTGGAGGAGGGCATTAGCAAGCCAGGCCAAGAGGATGGCAGCTCTCTGCCTGTGGGCCTCACCCTTTTATTTGACACTTTGAGTGTCCAGGACTCATTCATACCACACTCATACTCAAAAGTAAGAGCAGGGTGTTTGTGACTAATTGTGGGGTTCTGGGGTTCCCTCTCTGATTGTCCATCACATGATTTACTGGCTTCTTGTTTTTGGTTTTTCGAGACAAGGTTTCTCTGTGTAATAGCCCTAGCTGTCCTAGAACTCACTCTGTAGCCCAGGCTGGCCTCAAACTCACAGAGACCCGCCTGCCTCTGCCTCCTGAGTGCTGGGACTAAAGGCGTGGGTCGCCATGCCGGGCTCTCTCTTTGTTTCTTTAGTGTGAGCAGGTGGGAGGCAGCTTCATGACTGTAGGAGTAACTGGACAGGCTGATCTAGGAGGAGTTATGTTGACTGTTGGTGCCACTGCTGGGAGGCAGTCACAGCTGAGACTGCCTGCCATCCTTTTGGGGTGGTCTCCCTTGCTCCAGCCTGCAGGTCCCCGGGTGGAGGAGGGGCCCTCCCCAGCAGGTGGTGCGCTTAGCCTGCCCACTGCTGCAGATGCGATGGCGTGGGGCCTGGAGTCGCCCCAGGTGACAGTCGTCGTCCCCACCCCGTGTCCCCCCCCCCCCTGCAGCCGGAAGATGAAGGTGGTGGAGGCGCTGATCACACTGCTGCAGCACTTCCCCTATGATGACCCCACCTACGAGAAGCTCCATGAAGACCTGGACAGAATCAGAGGGAAGTTCAGACAGGTGTGTGCCCCATCGCCTCTGTCTGGGGTGTGCCCGCGTGTGCTGTAAAGGCAGGCCGGACACAGGCCCTGGGGGCCACGTGATGGCAGTGTTGGGCAGGTGCTCCCGTGTGTAGATCCAGAGGAGCTCATTCCCCTGCCCCTCGGACAGTGACTGAGATGGCCTGGGGATGATGTGGCAACGTGGCCTGAGCTGGTGCTGGCTGGGATAGGAGATTGGGGCGAGCAGAGGTTCAGGAGGCGGGGGACCCCACTGGTGAGACACCCTCTCTTGATGCTTTTCAGCTGTGCTCACTGCTAAACGTGCAGCCCGACTTCAAGGTAACCGCACGAGGCTCTGGACTTGCGTTTTGAGGACTCAGAGGAGCAGATGTCTGCACATTAGGTGTCAGAGTGATTAAAAGCCAGCCTGAGTGGCTCTCATTGTTCTGTGCGAGGACCAGTGTGGCCTCTTCCCTGAGGTTCTTTCTGAGTGGCTGGCAGAGGTCTCACTGCCCTGCCTTCTGCACAGGGGCCACCCTCAAGAGACTGCTTGCTGCTGGCCAGAGTGAGTAGCCTTGTCATTCCTGTGGTCCTGAGTAGGGTTCCCCTGAGGGTGGGACTCAGGAGAGGCAGGCTGATGTGAACGTACTTAATGGCAAACGAGCAGGTTCTTTGCTGTGTGCTGAGACCCTGCTGGCCACGCGGGCTTCCTTTGTTTCTCTCCATCCCTCTGGCAGCCCAGAGGTGGATCTCACTCCACTCTAGAGAAGATGAATAGACCCACTTACGGCCTGCTACCCCAGATCCACGTCCCGCAGTGCCACACGGTGCCTCTGCCTTGAGCATGTGCCGTTATTGCCTACACCATTGGGACCCCGTCCTCTGCTGCAGAAGACCCAGGTTCATGCAGTGTGCACAGGATTCAGGCTCCATTGGGCCTGGTTTGCCTCTGGATGCCCAGCTGAGGAGACAAGGCCAGTCTGGTCCTGAGGAAGCTGAGGCATGGCCTTCATGCTGCCCCCAAACAGGTGTGGGGTGAGCTCTCCACATTAAGAAGTGGCAGTGGGGGAACTACCTGGGAACCAAAGCAGGACTAGATGGTGGTTGCTGCTGTGAACGTGCAGGGCTTGCCTGTGTGGCACTAACGCTACTTTAACAGCAGCTTGCGTGTCTCGCATGGTACTCACAGGCAGGTCTAAGGTGAGCTGTCAGGAGTAGGCTCAGTGTGCCCATGCATTTCACAGGTGTGGACACACATGACAGCATGTGTTGATAGGCCTCCTCTGGGTGGCCCCACTGTATCTGACTGTCCCTATTTCAGTTCCAGGGCAGGATGTGCAGGGGTCACTGTGGATGCATGACACTTGGAGGTTTGTTTTTTTTTTTGTTTTTTTTTTTTTTTAATTTTCCTTTAGAGACAGTCTCACTGTATAGCCCAAGTTGGCCTTAAAGGGTGATTCTCCTGCCTCAGCTTTCTGAGTGCTGGGATCTCAGGCCTCTGAACCTAGGACACTGGTTTTACTATCATGTCATAGCATCTTGATAGAGTAGGGACCTCTGTACAAGCTGGAGCTCCTCCCTCATTCCATCAGCCCAGGCCAGCCGGAGGGAGGGATGATGCTGGTGCCTGAGGCTTGGGGTGCCGTGCATCTGCTCCCCGAGTCTGGCAGCAGCCTCTCAGGAGGCTGCACCATCCTCCCAGCTGCTCCCAGGACCAGGTGCTCTTCAGTGTGCTTCTCTGGGTGCTGAGCTCAGAGAGCTGTCTGTGGCTGCTGTTTTGACCATTTTACTTTTCTGTTTGGAGAAAAGAATAAACTGTATTTTAAAGAGATAGTCTGCCTGGGATCATTTGTACTGACAGCTGCTGCGGTCCTCCAGTACCAAGATGCTGAGGTGTCGATCTTGGTTCAGAGCTGTGGGCCCGCCGTGCCTGTCACATTCCGCCTTGGATTTGATCCCACAGGTAGCAGTTACCAGTTCCTCTCTTGTCTCTGCCCCTCCCCCCTCCCCTTGTACATGTTAGGTATTCGAGTTTCCACCCATCAGCGGAGCCACAGCTGCCTGCCTGATACCCCCTGTGTTCCCAAGGTCCCCATCCAGTCCCCAGCATGCTTTGGTCCCCCCAAAAGGTCTTCTGGATCAGTGTAGACAGAGACCATTCTGCCATGTGGGCGTGCCCCCTCTCCCCCCCACTGAGATGGTTGTGTCTGCTGTGAAAGGTGATGTAAGTCATGAGGAGGATGCTGTTACTTCTAGATGCCATCCCATGTGGGTGACACTTGGAACTGCCATAGACAGCCACCCACGGGAAGCTGTAGTGAAGTGTTCCTGAGTGTGGCAGAGTCAGGCACCACTGGAACCTGTGTCCTCACTGTCACTCCTGAGCTGCTGGTCCTTTCAGACATGTCCTGTGAGCTGTAAGTGTCCCCACTGCTGGACTGTTCTCTGCTACCCACCCCACCCTGTTCTGGCTGGCTTTCTGGCAGATTGACCTTCCTATGACTTTAGGATTGATGTCATCCCTTATGAGTGTCACTGTGTCACATGCTGGAGGCTGGAGGTGTCTGGGCTGGCTCCTCCCAAGTCTCTCCGCTGAGCTTGCTGCCTTCATCTCCTGCCCAGCTGTGTCCTGACTGAACAGGGACTGTACCAGTGATCTTCTCCCCCAGTCACCTGCAGATTTATCTCCAGTCACAGGGCAGGGCTTGTGACGGTCAACTTGACGGGATCTGGAGTCACCTCGGAGACACACCTCTGGGCATGACTGTGAGGATGTTTCCAGAGAGGCTTAACTGAGGAGAGAAGACCCACCCTGAATGTGTTCTGTCCCATGGACTGGAGAAAGCAAGCTGGATACCAGCGTCCATGTCTCTCTGCTTCCTGACTGGACATAATGTGACCATCTGCCTCAGGCTCCTGTTGCCATGCCTCCCCACATGGTAACTGTCATCTTATAAACTGTGGCCAGAATAAACCCCCTTCATCCCGTAACTTGCTTCTTTTGGGTATTTTGTCACAGTAACTAAACCCAGGGCCTTAGGCCTGCAGGGACACAAGCAGCCTGTCTGTGACTGTGGAACCAATTTCAGCCTGAGGCTAAATACAGAAAGAAGTTCTTCCATGCAAAGCTAGTGTTAGTGAGGGTTTTTTATATATAAAGATTATTGCTGAGTGATGGTGGCGCACTCCTTTAATTCCCAGCACTCGGGAGGCAGAGGCAGGCAGATCTCTGAGTTAGAGGCCAGCCTGGTCTACAGAGTGAGTTCCAGGACAGCCAGGCTACACAGAGAAACCCTGTTTTGAAAGACCAATATACATAAATAAATCAGCACAAAGGAAATATATTTGCCCCAGAGGGACAAAGGACAGGGAATAAGAGACAAAGACAGGAGACAGAGGAGATGGGGAAGGGGGATTTGCCCTGGAGGGACAAAGGACTGTCTTTCCACAGAGAGGAGACAGACGCGGCCTATAGACAGATGGAAGTTTATAAAGGGAAAGGGAAACACTATGTTAGAATGAGGTGTTTAATCTTGACTGGGCATCTTAATTAGGAGGACCACAAGGGGTCTTTTGATCACAGGACTTCAGTACTTTGATAGCTGGACCTCGGTAGCTGGCATAGGAGGTGAATGGCCATATAAGGGCATAGACCTTGGTGGCTAGCTTTAGGGATATAATCTAATGGTTTTTAGCAAGGCAGAGGGAATGGGGAAGAGCAAGGCCTACCAGAGCCATGTTTGCCATGCTCGGCCTGCCAGAGGCCTTCAGTGTGTGTGAATTTTTTACTTGCACCACATGGGGGCAATGCCTGCGGAGGTCAGAGGAGAGACATAAGGTCGTGAGTGACCATGTGGTGCTCCAAACCAAAGCTGGCTCCTCTGCAAAAGCAGCAAGCACTCTCCTCCTCCTCCTCCTCCTCCTCCTCTTCTTCTTCTTCTAAACATTTGTTTATTTATTATGTATACAGTGTTCTGCCTGCACGTATACCTGCAGGCTAGAAGAGGGCACCAGATCTCATTATAGATGGTTGTAAGCCACCATGTGGTTGCTGGGAATTGAGCTCAGAACCTGTGGAAGAGCAGCAAACACTCAACCACTGAGGCATCTCATCAGCTCTGCTGCTACTGAAGTTTGATTTTGTAGGATTGTAGTGATGGGACACAAGTGAGAGAAAACACTCCAGAAGCTCTGGCTGGGGCTTGCTCTCAACTCCACAGTGGCTAATGATGGAGCACCCCATACCCTAAAACAGTGGTTCTCAACCTTCCTAATACTGTGACCTTTTAATACAGATTTCATGTGATGAACCCCAACTATACAATAATTTTCATTGCTATCTCATAACTGTAATCTTGCTACTGTTATGAATCATAATGTAATTATCTGTGTTTTCCAATGGTCTTAGGTTACCCCCATGAAAGGGTTGAGAACCACTGCCATAAGGCAAGGCTATAGCTCATTTTCTGATTATTGGGTATTCACTCTGTAGTAAGATGAGGAGGAGGAGAAGAAGGGGCGAGAAGTTCTGTTTGCCAAGTCCTGACTTTTTCTACACCATTAAGTCCACATGTGCCAGACTGCAGAACTGCATCGTGGGCTGCGGAGTGACTGCAGGTGGCTGCAGTAAGTGGCCAGCTCCAGGCTGGACAAAGCACAGTGAGGGAGAGTGGTCTGTGCCAACTGCTCCGGACTGGCTTCTTGCTCATCTGAGCCGGTGGCAGGTCTTGTATCGAGCAGATCCAGGAAAACGGGGTTATAAAGAAGGAACCCAGGGCTGGAGAGATGGCTCAGAGGTTAAGAGCACGCACTGCTCTTCCAGAGGTCCTGAGTTCAATTCCCAGCAACCACATGGTGGTTCACAACCATCTGTAATGAGATCTGGTACTGCCTTCTGGCCTGCAGTCATACATGCTGTATACATAATAAATAAGTAAATTTTAAAAAAAATCCTTAAAAAATTAAAAAGAAGGAGGAGGAGGAGGAGCCTGTATCAGGAGGAACAGTGAATGAAGGGACTGTCAGATGCCCCAGACCCTTATGTGGGCTTGCTTGCCCCTTCCTTCCTTCCTTCCTTCCTTCCTTCCTTCCTTCCTTCCTTCCTTCCTTCCTTCCTTCCTTCCTTCCTTCCTTCCTCCCTCC